GGTATGAGGATGGGGATAGGGCTGGTTTATTGGTAGGAGTATGAGGATGGGGATAGGGCTGGTTTATTGGTAGAGGTATGAGGATGGGGATAGGGCTGGTTTATTGGTAGGAGTATGAGGATGGGGATAGGGCTGGTTCATTGGTAGAAGTATGAGTATGAAGAGACAGTGCTGGTTTATTGGTAGGAGTATGAGGATGGGGATAGGGATGGTTCATTGGTAGGGGTATGGGGAAGGGGAGCAGCGCTGGTTCATTGGTAGAAGTATGAGGATGGTGAAACAGCGCTGGTTCATTGGTAGAAGTATGAGGATGGTGAAACAGCGCTGGTTCATTGGTAGGGGTATGAGGATGGGGAAACAGCGCTGGTTCATTGGTAGGGGTATGAGGATGGGGAAACAGCGCTGGTTCATTGGTAGGAGTATGAGGATGGGGAAACAGCGCTGGTTCATTGGTAGGGGTATGAGGATGGGGAGACAGGGCTGGTTCATTGGTAGGAGTATGAGGATGGGGAAACAGCGCTGGTTCATTGGTAGGGGTATGAGGATGGGGAAACAGCGCTGGTTCATTGGTAGGAGTATGAGGATGGGGAAACAGCGCTGGTTCATTGGTAGGGGTATGAGGATGGGGAAACAGCGCTGGTTCATTGGTAGGAGTATGAGGATGGGGAAACAGCGCTGGTTCATTGGCAGGGGTATGAGGATGGGGATAAGGCTGGTTCATTGGTAGGGGTATGAGGATGGGGAAACAGCGCTGGTTCATGAGGATGGGGAAACAGCGCTGGTTCATTGGTAGAAGTATGAGGATGGTGAAACAGCGCTGGTTCATTGGTAGGAGTATGAGGATGGGGAAACAGTGCTGGTTCATTGGTAGGAGTATGAGGATGGGGAAACAGTGCTGGTTCATTGGTAGGAGTATGAGGATGGGGAAACAGCGCTGGTTCATTGGCAGGGGTATGAGGATGGGGATAAGGCTGGTTCATTGGTAGGGGTATGAGGACGGGGAGACAGAGCTGGTTCATTGGTAGAGGTATGAAGATGGGGAGCAGGGCTCGTTCATTGAGAGGGGTTTAGGGATGGAGAAACAGCTGGTTCATTGGTAGGGGTATGAGGATGGAGAGACAGGACTAGTTCATTGGTTACAGGTAAGGGGATGGAGAGATTGTGTTGCTGTGCCCTGAAGTTGCATCTGAAAATACTCAGAATTGTATGTGAAGATATGAAGAAACTAATGTTAGGGGAGCAAACGTAGTCTATTTCACTATGGACCAAGCTAACAGATTAATTTCCACCACTGATGGACTACACGCACCTTTCTTTGTGAAACATTGGGTGACATACTGTCGCCTTTCTTTTCTCTCTCCTGTCTTTCTTTTATTACTTTTCATTTTTAAAAGGGAGATTTTTCTGTAGGAAGCTGAGACAAAACACTCTTCCGGCACTTCTCACTGCCAGAGCCATGTAGAGACATGGCTTTGCCAGAGCCGGTTTGGCTCTGCCAGAGCCGGTTTGGCCCTGCTCACTGCTCGCAAGTATGATTTGCATCTGGTTAGGGGGCAGACCAAACCATTTCATGAAAACAGAGGCGGGGTTGGGCAACACAGATGCTCTCTGGATGTTAACTATTTTGCTAAAAACAAAAAAAGAAAAAAAAACATTAGTTTTATAAGTATATTGTAAATAAAATATTACATTAATGATGACAGGTTAATAATTTAATACGGATGTTTTAATGTTCTAATTATTTTAAGGGCTCCTGTCAGTTACAGGCCCTTAGAATTGTCCAACTTCCTCCCATATGGCACCCCTGTCCATTTTTTTGTGATACTGGAAAAAAATCATCAATTTAAATTTAAGCTGTGAGTGAGAGATTCAAACTTGTTGCAAGGCTGTTAGAAGGCTTAAACTCAGTGACCCAATAACATACAGGTTTTCATCATGAACATCATAAGACCTGTTGCAGACTAGTTCTGTAATTAAAAGCTTGGAATATCTCCTTTCTCCTTTTCTTAATACTGCTACGTTTATATAGGCTACATCAAAGTTATAACTATATTCTGTTTGGCACAGAATATAGTTATAACTTTGCTGCCACCTTGTCTCTAAGATGATGTGTAATCTGTGCACTACATCACCCACTCTTTCCCTAAATGCACCCATACATACACACAAAGATTTACAGACAGGTCCTGTCTTCTGTTTCAGGTTCCCAATGTTAATATTCCGCTCCTTTTCCAACTTATGAGAGCAATACATTACAGACATAAAATTAAAGTGACCCAAGAGAAAACTAAAGAAACAATAAAAATCTGCTTTTCTAGTTTGCTTCTGTATCATTCTAGAAATATTGAGTAAGCAAGCTTCTGACTGTCTGACTGAGAGCAGTAAGGATCACATTCTAAGCATACAGTTAGATGAACAATGCAACAATGCAAACACATCCTCAGTGACAGTCTTCAACATGTACAGGCCTGAGGGCAGGGAGTGATAACTGACCGGGCCAAAAGGGTCAGTACTCATGGGCCTCTAACTGCCAGGAGCCTTGAGTGGCCTCAGACCACAATGCGTACCCTGCTACCATAATAAAATAATATATAATGTAATTAAAAGCTAACACCAACAATTTGCAGAAATATAATTGTGTGTGAGATAATAGGCATTGCTTGTGTCCAGAGGTCTGTCTTTTTCTCTCTCACTTTCTCTCCCTCTCTCTGTGTCATAGACAGATGGACACTCACTTGCAATTGATTAAAGGACTTTCACAGTAACCTACCACATGCCACAAAATAGCTCCCTTTCGTAGTTCATTTTGGTTCTCGTTTTTTGGTTGCATAACACTGCATAACACTGATTTTACTTTGCTTCACGACATGCCTAACAATGGCTTTAACCACTCTAAAATTACTGTACTGTGAGTGGCTTATTGCTTTGTGTTATACCATGGCTTGTGCATGTTAACCTGAATGCAGTATATAATGAGCATTGTGTCCCCTCTTCTCTTGCATTAAGGAAATAAAGAATTTTCAAATAATTTTTAACATTATTCTTAATGATAAAGTCTGCACTCTACATCTCATCATACAAAACAAAACAAAAACTTTCACTGCGGAGCGAATGAAGGCCTGTAGAACAGCGGATTCTGGATTTTGGTTCAAATTGGTTACACCCCTACACATTACTGTACATCAGTGTGGAACATATCTCATGAAACCCTATGTGCAGTTTATTATCTATCTGCATGGTTTCCATATGTGACATAAAAGGAAGTACTGAGAGACCAACACACACGTACACATGATACTGACCCAATTACTCAAGGAGATAAAGTGAGAAAGTGTATGATTGTTTTATTGCTTAGAAAAGAAAATGTGTGTTTGCATATATGTATATATATTTATATGTCGGCTTCACTTTTGCTTCACAGTCTTATGACATTCGTTTTCCACTGAGCTCTGACCTCTTTAAGTGTCTTTCATGTGTTGATCTACAGGCACTTGTGAGTGAGGTGCATTACTTTGTGGTGAAGTAGCACGTCTTGCAGTCACAGCCGATGAAAGTATAACTACTTGTGCAAAAACAGGAAGAAAGAAAGAGCAGCCTCTAAAACGAACGAGCAGTGGGGTAAATTTAGAGATTTTCTCTTCTAGAAAATGGTAAACCCGCCACTGTTCGTTTTTCCTTTATGTTCCTCACAGTCCACAATTTGAGGGGCTAATGCAACCTGCACATAGGTCATGAGAGCAAGAACCTTGGGTTACAACAAAGCTAAAATATTGAATTAAAAAAAAACAAGAAAAAAAATCTTTCACAATTATTAACATTGGGCTTTTCTTTTTTATTTAGCTTCTGTAGTACTTACTGCAGAAAACTAATGGCACAACACCAAAACCTTAGTTTAATCTTGAGTACTTTTCTTGTACATTACAGCTAATTGCACTTTCAGCTAAAACATTAGCCACAGCACCTCTTCAGGGTGCTATTTTCTTCCCAAATAATTCGCAGTTGCCAAAACTTGGCAGTGAACCTCAGTGCCATTGACAATGCTGGGGTCCAAGACATGAAGCTTAAACCATTATACTTCTGCCATCTTGTCCAGCAGTAAAATATGCTGACTTAAGTAAATATTGTAGACTATTGTTGGCAGCTTACTGGTTACACGGTTAAGCTCTTATCAGCTGACATCTACACAGGTCTACACATGTTGCACTCAGATCTTCAGATTAACAGCCAGTACTGATGGTAGGCATGAACAAGTTCAAAATGACGCCCTACACAGGTTCCCAGCTCTAGTCCTGGAGCACCCCCTGCTGTCCTGCACATTTCAGGGCATTGCCTGCAGTATCACACCCACTTCAACCTATAACGGGCTTGTTAATGAGCTGATCTTTTTGGATTGTGTGTGTTGGGAAAAAATACTAAACTGTTAAATGTAAAACAAGCTTTTGGGTTTTTAGAATCAACACAGTAAAAAAGTTTTCAAGAGCTCCAGCTGTACTATGCCCTTCTGTTTTTTTTATTTGTACAGTATGATTTCAAGTTCCACAAACATGGATATCTCAGTGCATGGCCCCTTAAACAAGTCAATAGTAAGGTGCACATCTCACAGCGGCCTGTTCAAAATTAGTGAACAGACTGAATATGAATGTTCACTTGAGATTTCCATTTTCAGTTTTAGACTTCAGTGATGTAAACTTAAAGTGATGTTTCACTACTGTTTTTAATCAATCCAAACAATCCAATCCAAATCTTTAGCCTCTCTAAAAATGAATCATACAAGAATGGTTCAAATTGCTTCACCGTGGCTTGGTAAAATCTTCTAGTTTCCATGAGCTTTATCTACAAAGACAACAGTTTCAATGTTGCAATGTGCCAGCTAGATTTTCTTTTCTTTTTCAGAGCAAAGAAAAGTGTTACGCAGACAAGCTTGACTGAGCCGTCGCAGGTGAAACCGCAGTTTCTATCCTTCCTTCCTAAACCTCCATCACATGACTTACTATAAGCAGCAAAAACACCCGTGTGCTGCATTTAAACCAAACGTCTTTCACCACAGAGAGCTCATATACTGTATCATGGCATTTTGCTGTCCTTGCATGAGGCCTTTGGCCTGTTTTCGTTCCCAGGCTGAAGATGATGATGATGATGATGATGATAAGACAAAGGATGAAGATGGTAAGAACTGATAATCTGATATAGAGCAAATATCTATGTGACAAATATTACAAAACAAATCGCAATTTTTTTTACTCATTAGCCTATAATTAGTCAAGTCTAAAGTACTACATTCGCAGTTTAGTTAACAGATTCATGTAGTTTAAACATTTAAGAAACAATTGGCAAGTGCTTGTTCTTTCAAAATATCAGACGTACAATAAACAGCATCAGCAGGATGCTTCTGAAATCCCTGGCTAGCCTAACATTTGATGTGAAAGTTGTTTTTTTTAAAGTAATTTTGCTTTAAAAAAGAGCTTTGACGATGAACCTGTTAACAATGTTTTACTGCAGTGGACGTGAATCCCGATTGTTTGCAATAGCACCTGTTTTCATTACTCTGTACTGCTGTGTATTTAATATGCAAAACCAACCCCCAAGCCTTTTGGAAAAAGTAGAACAGGGGTCCTGTTGCATGTGGCAGAAGCTAACACAGCATGCCACAACAAGAACATCATACCGTCAAACATGGTGGTAGTGTGATTGTGTAGTGATGCTTTGTTGCTCCAGGGCCTGGATGACTTGCCATAATAGACAGAACCACGAATTCTCTTTTGTACTAGAAAATTCTGTGGGAGAATGTCTGTTCATCAGTCTGTGATCTGAAGCACAAGAGCAAGTCCACCTCTGAATGGCTCAAATGAAACAAAATTAAGGTTTTGAAGTGGCCTAGTCAAAGTATGACTTGAACCCCATTGAAATGCTGGGGCAGGACCTTAAATGGGCAGTTTATGCTCAAAAGCCCACCAGTGTGGCTGAATTGAAGCAATTCTGCAAAGAAGAGTGGGCCAAAATTCCTCCACAGCAATGTATAAAAGACTGATCTCCAGTTACAGGAAGCATTTGGTTGCAGTTGTTGCTACTAAAGGTGGCACAACCAGTTATTAAATTTAGGGGGCAGATACCTTTTTTTTTTACATTGGTGATGAAGGTTTCACATTTCATATGAGGACCTGAAACCATTTAGTGTGACAAATATGCAAAATTAGAGGAACAGAATGGCGGAGAAATGAGAGTGAACACAGTGCAAAGGGTTTAAGACTGATGTACGCTGTGAAATAGCTATACCAAAAGACCATTCTTGATGCAGGTGCTGAGGAGTAATGGGATACCAAAGATAAGAATTGTATAGGATATTTTAAGGGATAAATACAGCAAATAAATGTATTTAACTCTAATTTACTTTAAAAAATTGAGAAACTTTTACACTTACATGGCTTTAAGTGGAAAAGTCATTCATATGTTTTTACAAGAAATTACCACAACTTTCACAGCAATTTTATTACAGTAACCTGTAATGAACTACATAGAGCAGATCCAGGGATGAAGCTACAGAAGGTGGTGAAATTCGTAACTGATTTGTAAGTTTTTCTTTTTGTTATATATTTTCACCTGCAACAGAAAATGTCACCCTTAAGAACTTCACATCTTTAAGATTTAAGACAGAGGGTACTCCTGAAGGGTCTGTAGAGGAGACAAAGAACAAGAAGAGGGTCTGGATGGACAGGATGAATGGTACTCCTCAGAAGTCTGTAGAGGAGAGAAAGAACAGTGAAAGGGTCTCTGATTCTTTCATCTGTAATATCCCTCATAAAGCCCTGTCAGGTATTTCCCTAGGTTTTTGTTTTTTTAACCTCTCACTGCCTGTCTCTTTCTGCTTGACGTTGATTAGCATTTATTTATTTATTGTGTGGTGTAAGAAGTCTGTGGAATTAATAAGGAAACATTGTGTCTGCTCTCTTCCTCATTATAGTTTCAGAGATTAATGAACTATTAAAAAATGATTCTTTGAAAGAGGCCTATGGGAACCTACTATCTCTGCGGCGGGAGATTCAGCGTGAGCGGGAAGCTCTGGGTGAGACGACCCCTCTAGTGGAATTAACTAATAAAGAGAAAGATCTGTCTCAGCTTTGTAAGACCCTGAGGAACAAACTGACTGATATTGTCCGACACTCCTGTGACTCGACCTCCAAAAAGCTGCTGATGCACGCTGCCCACATCATCCAGGAGGAGGAAAAGAGAGAAGGAGATCCAGGAGGGATGAGGGGATGGATGGATGCCTGGAGGGCTGCAGTAAAGGACGGGGTGACAGAAAAACTCGAGGGGGTCCATCTGGACAGCTGTGAAAACAATGCTTCCTGGTTGGCGGTGCACTTGGGGCTTCTGGGTAAAGCGATTGTGGAGCTGCTGGAGAAAGTGAAGACAGAGCTTGTCAGCTCATACCCACCAAGCTTTAATGTGTTTGAAACCTACGTTTCATCTTGTCATGAGTTTGTAGAAGAACATCTCAGTGAGCTTCTGGGACAGATCACAGAACTTAAAGATTATTACGCCATGCTGGATTTCGCCATCAACAGCTATCACAGGTCAGGAGCTGCACTGAGTATATTAAAAGCTTTTGTTGATTGCCTTGACACTCAATCCAAATTCTGTTGTACTGCTCACATTACAGTGAGAAGATCCTTGGCAGGCCCTCTTTGCAGCCAGAGATGAAGGAGCAGAAGGCTCTTGCACTACCTGATGACTTTCTAGAACAGATTAAACAGAAATACTGTAACTGTCTGCAGGTGAGAAACGACCACAGCTGCAGGAACCTGAACCTATAAGCATATTAATTTCATTTCTTGATTTGTGGCTTATTGTGTTTATTACTATTTATTTTATCAGAAAAACCTACAAACTTTACTTGGCAACATCATTAAAGTTGAACATGACGATGTGTGGAAGAAGAAACAAATGCCGCAGAGCATAGTAGATGGAAGGTTTCCCATCTCTGAAATTCACATTGACATATTAAAGGTATTGTGTTGCTTTGAGCTGTCCTTCCAGTGTTATATTTTCTGATCCTAGCAGTGCTTAACTTACATTGCATTACGTTCTCTAATTCACTATGCATCAAAGTAATTATTGTATTTAACCTTTGATTGCAGTGTGCGATCTTTTTATGTAATGACTATGTATGTAGCACAGCATCTGTGATATGCACAGTTTTTTCCACCACCATCTATCATGCCCATCAATGGAAAGAGACCACTCAAAAGTGTAGAGCTGGTTTGTACAATATTGATTTGTATACAGAATTTCATTTCACGTGATCACATATGGAACATGCATCCAGTAGATATGGCTGTTTCTGTCCTATATGGATTAATCAGATGTTGCTCATGTAGGATTTTAAGACATTGCCTGCAAAGCCAATCATCTAGTTTGACTTCATCTTACCTGGTTTCTCCTTCTTCCTCTAACTCTCTCTGCTCTGTTATCAGCAAACTGAGCTGACAAGTGAGTGTGGTTTCATTCATTAAAGTAAGCCCAAGGTGAGCTACTGTAGGCATGACGTCTTCACTTCTGCACATAGCTTTAGCTAAGTTGGTTATGTGTTGGACACTTTTTTAAATGACCTGGAAATGTCTACAGAAAATGGCAAGACAGTCATTTCCTATATTATATGTATTGTAACCAAGACAAACCCACTCTATGGTGTATTGCTTTCTTTTTCTCTCTTCAAAAGACTTGTTTAGGAAAATTCTTTGATTCTATGAAAGTGTTACTAGGCTAAACTTATCTTATTAGTCCATCTTATTCAAAAGAGAACTAAAGTGATGCAAAAAACATGTTAATGTCTGTTTTTATAAGATTAGCCCCAACAGCATACTTTAGACTGTCTTCTTATTTTGGTGGATGCATCTTTGTTTGATATCTGCTTCAGTTAGTCACTGGAAATTCTCTGTAATGGCAGGGGAACTTTCCAAACATAAAATAATGTCAGGGAACACATTGCCTATTGTCATATTAATCATTACCATATGCACGTATGACATGATATGCATTTGCAATGTGAACTGTGTATTTCACTCTTTTACAGATGTTAATTCAAATTCTTGGTATTTAAATGGGCTACACAAAGTAGCTCATTCAAATACTGCCCCTGGGACCCCATAAGACCAATGCTGACCAGATATTATTTGGGTGGCATAGTACCATTATCAACATAGTAATGACATCAACATGTTAATGACATCTAGTGAGTGTTACGTTGGTACAACTGCATTGTGCACAGCAGCACTGCTTTATTGACAAAGCAGCTGATGAATTGTGCAGCAAAAGATGAGCTACAGTCAGTAAATGCACACCTTCAATGTGCACTTAGATGGTAGCTCCAAGGTACCTCACCATTGTGTAATTTTGCTGAAAATTAAAGTTATTGCTAGTCTCATCAACAATGTTTGTGAATAATATCAATAAACTGTGTGTGCAATGTAAACAATTTCCTTTTTTTTAGATAATAGCAGGATTTGCTGAGAATTCTAAGAAGATTGATGGAAACCTAGAAAAGAGGGTTCTGTGCTGTTGCCTAGAGGCACTGAGGCCCTTTCCAAAAAGGTAAAACCAAGCATGTATGTGTCAGAATACACTGTCAGCACTAACAGTAAAATAAAATTTTAAAGGGTCAACTTCATCAATTGTAAAACACATATCACCTCTTGCGGTTGTCTTTTTTTACATGTTGTTTAGATTTGAGGAAGAGTTGTCAAAGCAGAATTCCTCCTTGTTGGGCTCAAATGTATTGGACTGTTGTCTGTGGGCTAAATATCATGTCGCATACATAAACAGCTTTATCTCACTCAAGTAAGTCCTCATCAAAAGCAATGTTTCAATAAGGTGAAAAGCTATCATCACTACACTGTAAAAAGTGGAACACGAAAGAAGCTGAAGTGGTTTTAAGTGCTTCTGAGGTCTGGATTGATGTAAAATATCACTTTTGTTCACTAGGTGTTTATCTGTTCCAGAGAGGAGATGGAACGCTACAGAGGCAGCTGCCCAGATCAGGAAGACCGGCTGGGGATGGAAGTAGACAGGCTGGTTCTCCGACTGAGACAAGCTCTGCTAGAACAGTTTAAAGCTGAAATTGAGGTGGGCTATGCTGGATTTAGCAACAGATCGGTGTTGGGTTGCAGGTACAGTACTGTACCATTTTTGTAATCATTGTAGCCACAGGTTTCCTGGATTTTTCAATTTATTGATTCTATTATTTATCATCTATTATCTCCATTTATGAAAAAAGTATTTTAATTAAATGTATTACAATTTGTTTCAGCCCTACAAGGAGAGTTTGATGACCAAGAAATGGCTCAAAACAGATGATGATTTCAATGAAATAATTAACAGAATAGAGACCTACTCTGGATACACCAAATCTATGAAATCTCCACCTGCGCAAGTGAGTCTGATCTCTTTGACTCATAGGTGTAAATTCCTCTGGAAAAAAGTGTCTTACAAAGTGTTAACAAACACTTTCATGTCCACAGTCCTTTGCCAATGACCTGCATTACCATGCAGTGAAAGAGTACATTTCTGAGCTTCTGAAGGAAAAGTACTCGTGCAAAGGCAGGAAGAATGGTCTTGGTGCTGCTAAGATTAAAGGCCAGTGGGATCAACTCATCAAACTGTTCTCTGAAATGGTAAGGTACAGTCTGTTGTTTGTTCAGGTGGAACATTTGGTAATGCCTTAAGTTCTAGGTATTAACCAGGTGAGTGTGAGGTACAAACTAGGTAATTATTTTGGGTAACATGGTGGTAAGTTCTGAGGTAGTACAACTACAACATACTGATTTTGAACATACATACATACATCATCTAAACCGCTTATCCTTCTGGGTCACAGTGGGGTTGATTTTGAACAGTACTATGTAATTATTTCGGCAAAAAAATTTCTAGTCGATACATGACGTAAAAGATTTTAAACGAACAATGTACAAAGAGTCTTACTCAGTACGTCCCTGTTTATCACGTACATGAATGAAACTGAATCTGGGCTGTAAAAGAAATCAATAATTCTTATTATGGTTTTTCTTCAGAAGCCTATCCTTGTACTTTATGAGGTCATTTTATGCCATATAACAACGCCATACTTGGAGATGATACTGCCTAAACAAATTATACTGCAATCTACTGTAGGTATGTTTGTACTTACCATCTTCTTGCTTCGAATAATTATGAGGTATTTTACCATGTCCTTTATCAGCTTATTAGTTAACTTAGACTGTCTTGGTACTTATCAACATTTTACCCAAAATAATTGCACAGCACTTTAGAAATTGTTAGATCATTGTTAGATCAACATTGTAAATACCTAGACCTTGGGGGACTGTAAAAGAAAGCCAAAGATTTTATATATAAATGTTCCTGTGGTCTTTTTTTCTGCGTTCAGGGATCAACGTTAAATTGGCTTCACCCGCTAGGAGACCAGCTTAGTAAGATCATTGAGCAGAAGAATGAGAGAGACATAAAAAAACTCTTACCATCATTTGTTGAAAATTACCCAGACATCAGGTGAGCATACTGTTTCATCTTTTACATCATGAACTATGTTAATGCCTATTTTTACCCCATAATACTGTGCATACTCTTCTTAAACTTTCTCAATTTCCAGTAAGAAGCAACTTTCAGCCATTCTGTACTTCAGAGAGAGAGGTATTGTGAGGCATTCGAAAATACACCCAGTCATTCGGCGCTTTACTGAGCTAAAACAGAATTCTGAGAAGAAAAATCATGAACACACATTCTTCAGTGATATTAAGGTACCTGTGTTGTCCGATGTAATTACATAATATGTTAATTAGATAGCCTAATTTGGTTTTCTTTAGTAGCACTCTATTGCTATAGTAGAGTAGAATACTGTACTATACCCATAAAAAACGTTGTGGCAAAGTATTTTGTAAACATTTATGTTGTTTATATTTTCAAGTCTTCCACAAATGCTTTATCTTATCTCTCTCTTTTCCAGTGAGACAATTATATCAGTTTGCCACCGTTTCAGGAGTTATGGACCTTGATGACCTAAAACTGATTTTTGAGCATGCTGAAATGTATATTCCAACACTATTGTGCTCTGAATTCACTCAGCATAGGAGGACATCTGAGCCACACATAATAAAGGTTCTGATGGGCTGTGAAAATGCCTACTGGGCTGTGTAAACCCTTAAATGGCCAAAGTTTTTTTACACACTTTTATTACCTAAGAATAGAACAGCTCAACCTGTTTGTAGTGGAGTCCTTGTTATTGCTGAATTATAGGCCTTAGTATGTAATAAGCCTGGGATTTTAAGCCAAATTTGTTACATAATGCTGCATCAAATGTTGTTTGAATCAGGTGCTCTTTGGTGTCAAGGGAAAAAAATTCAGTGAGGAAAAGGAGAGAGAAATAATTTTCCAAACCAATGCAGTCTTTAAATTAAAATGTCTTTGTTGTATTGACATGTCCTAGTTAAAAATGTCAATACAATGAAGACATTTTAATTGAAGAAATGCTTTGGTTTGATGGGTTTTATTCTCTGTTTTTCCTCACAAATTTACAATTTTCATGAAGCTGCCCAAAACAATGCTAGTATCTCTTTGTGCAAGAGCTAGTACAGCCAAGTCGCCACCGCATCACAGACCAGTGCGTCATAGGCCAGTGCATTACAAACTACCACAACACAGATCACTGCATTACAAACCACTGCATCACAGACCACCGCATCACAGACCAAAACATCATAGACCACCGCATCACAGATCACCACATCATAGACCAGAGCATCACAGACCGGTGCATCACTGACCAGACCAGTACATCACAGACCGGTGCATCACTGACCAGACCAGTGCATCACAGACCACCGCATCACAGACCAGAGCATCACAGACCAATGCATCACAGACCAGAGCATCACAGACCAGTGCATCACAGACCACCGCATCACAGACCACTGCATCATAGACCAGTGCTATTTACACCAAATAACAACGACAACAAAAAAAAAACATTTCATTTTATGTGTTAAAGCCTTTTATTGTTATATACTTGAGTATGTTCAAATGTTTTTTCTTCACTCAGATATATTTTTGACCCCACACTTCCATTTTTAATAGAGTAAGACTTGGACACAGTGCTATCTTTCATTTTCACTTTCACAAGTATATTTTTACTGTTTTTTTACACCTATGAAATGTAAAATAAATGCATTACACTTTTTTGCTGCACATTTGCATATGTGTATTAGACAAAATCTGGTTTGTACTGTATTGACTGTGTGTTCCCTCTTGAATACCCACTCTGTGTATGTACACATCATCAACACTAGAGGGAGGCAGCTGTTTGAATTTTCAGCAGCTATTCACAGCCCACAGTCCTGGCTACAGTTATTGTCACTGACATCCTGGATTTATTTTGATTTTGTAGATATAATTTAATCTATTTCTTACTTATTAAACATACTGATTACACCATGTAGGAGGGGTTCGTAAAAGCCAGACATTTAGACTGTTTAGGTATGGACAATATTTATTTTACCAGATGAAGTACTGGTGTAGTTGACATAAAAAATGTTCAAAAATGTTCAAGAAATGTGTAATTATACATTTTTAAAAGAAAATGACATCTGTATCACAGAGCAGTGCATCAGCATTTTCACATTAAAAAAATACAGAAAAAATATGGATATTCACACTGATTAGATAATGATTTCATCTATGTCTTTGTGATTTCTATATGATATTAGAATAGAATCACAGCAGGATCCTGTTTAGTTTCAGCCACTGTGAGAGAGCCTTGCAGAGACAGGCAGAGTTGTGAATTGCACACTGATACAAAACTGGATAATTGTCTGTGAGGATTTCTAGTTGTTAATGAAAATGACAGGTGTGAATTACAGAGACTAGAAAGCAGGTTTTCAGGCTGTCTAATGAGTACACAAAAATAATCTTCTAAAAAATATAGCAGTAGCTTTAGGATCGTTTGAATTTCAGTGGGAGTCATTGGGAATATTGTAATTCTAGGTTATCTCAAATTCTGGCTCCAGTCGCTGACTTTCTCAATTTATTTTTTACTGTAAGATATTATTATTTAATTATGTTCTTAAACATTCTGATGGCACTGTATAGGGTTTCATAAAGCCAAACATTTAGACTGTTTTGGTGGAAGGATTATGAATTTTACCAGACAGAATAATGATGTCATTAATATCAAAAAAGTTCAAAAACAAAATGTGAAGTAAAAATTATTAAAAAGAACACGAGGCATAGACAGGTGTCAGTAGTAAATTCGTTTTTCACTACATACGTATTCACAATGTTGATTAGATAATGTTTAATGACTGTGCATCTATATCCTAGTGCTTTCTATGCAAGTAGAAAAAATTTACAGAGACAGGCAGAGTGAAATGCATACTGATGAAAGATGTGATAACTCTCTCTGAGGATGTCTACTTAATGATGAAAGTGACAGGGGTTAACTGCAGAGCATTTTGAGGCTGTCTAGCATACAAAAATAATTACAAAAAGTGGTGGAGTGGGAAAATATGAGAACTCAACAAAATAATGAGAACGTTTCTCAAAATAATGACTTAGCGTCTCACGTTTCAAAATAATGACTTAGCATCTCATATTTCAAAATAATGACGTAGTATCACAAAGTAATGGCATTATGGTTATATAATTTGTATGATTTTGCAGGTGATGCATGCAGGTCTATGATAAATCATTATTTACCCTTAATGTCAAAATGTCATGGTTGTGTACATCTAAATAACACACAATAAAGAACACTGTTTCAAAAAGTTGATTTTTTTTTGGAAATTGTTTTACTTTTTTACTTTAAGTACATAAGAGCATGTACCTTTATACTATATTTGAGTAAAAATGTAATCCATACTTCAATTTTTACCCAAGTATTTTTTTTTTACCAGAGTAGTTTTACTTAAGGAAGGAACATGTGTACTTCTGCCACCTCTGTCTGTCTTTTTAATGATGTAGTAGATGCAGGGCTGCAAACAAGAATCAGAATTTTAGTGATGTCCATATCTGCAGAAATGTGAGTTCACTCTATGTATAAACCACATTGCCAAATATATTTACTACACTAAGTGTTAATTTCCCCTTTATGTTTTTCACCATATTACTCCCTTTTTACCTATAATTTGCATTATCTACCCATTTCATTTGTTCATTTCCCACCATTCTTTCATAAATTGCTATTACACTTCCATAAACTGCTTTGAGTCCTGTTAGACTGTTTAATTTAGTTTACTTAGTTAATTATTTAACTTTTTATTTACCAGTCTACTTTTAAGCTGAAATACATTAAATACAAGCCTATATATTAAATCAATTGGCTGTTTCCTTTTGCACATTACTGATATTCTGCTGTTTTACATTGAAATTCATAACTGGAGGAATGAAAAAACAAACATTCTGAGACTACCGAGGTCCAGTCCTCAGTGTCCACATAGATAGTTAAGTAGCTTCAGAGGAGAAATCATTGGAAAGCATAATTCTACAACACAGGAAGAAATCTTAACACACCCACAGTCCTGTATGCTGAAAAATCTGAGCTGGAATTTGTCTGTCTTTCTCTGCATCTCGTCTGGAGTCCAAACATGCACTTTCTTTCAAACCTGTTTTTGTCTAAAGGAGAAAAAAGTGCATCAATAAAGGATGTGGTGTCGAAAAATATCTTTGAGACAAACAGATACAGAGTCTGAAAGGTAGAGAAAGAGACAGCAGTGAGAAAGTTAGAGATTGAACCCAAAGATCACAAATGGCAACCATGATGTCATTGATCCACTGAGGAAAAGGCGAATTCTGCTGAAGAGAACCGGTGAGAGCTCAATAACACACCAAAAAAACGAAAAAAAAACAAATGTGCTACAAAAGTGGCGAGCTGCAGAAGACCCAGCGGGTCTCATTTAGTGCTGTTTTATCTTATCGACAACAGCTTAAAATCAATAGATTCAGAGGAAAGAGGGTGCATAAAAGAGAGAAAAAGAGAGGGAGAGTTCTTTGCCTTGGAATGACCCAAATCTGAGGCACTCAATTTTAAGTACTGTCTGTCTGGTATAGGCATTTTACCCCTCAGTCTTAGGAATTAAACCTAATCTGTTCTGTTCCCACTTTTTAGGAGATGCCCTCAGTCTTCTGGCCTCCTGGATCATTGAGTATTTGATCAACAGTAAATCATCATGGAATATACAGCCTCACCAACATTAATAACTTTTATTACAGCCCCATAGTTCACGCAAGGCACAATGTGCAAAACGTCCTGCAATCCGTAAGCAGATGCACTAAGTCTTAGGCTTACTAACAAAAACAAAAAAATGTTGGAGCATATCAATACAACGTTAAAACCGAAGTAATTTTGTTTTATGAAGAAGGGGCAAGTCACATATGAAAGTATTTTTACATGCTTTATGGAATAATTAGTGACATAGAGGCTATGAATAACTTGCACAGCTCAGAGAACCCTTTTCAAAAAGGTGCTATACAGAACCAGTTACAGCACATCATTCTGTTGTATCTCCAAAATGATAACTTTACAGGAGAAGGAAAAAAACTATTTTACTTTAATGTAAGTTAATGGAACCAGACTTTTTTACAAGTCATTTTCGGCTGTTTCTTTTGGTCCATTTATCATGAAATTTACATACAATATAAAGGAGAGTAGGTATTTTCAAATTATGTCAAAAACTGACAAATGACAAAAAATGGCCATATTAGGTTTTCTTCTGACAACAGCGACATTCTCCATCAATATTAAGCCCTTTCATGATGCAAAGAACCCTTTCATCATGCAACAGGTTCTTTGAGTGTACAGGGTTCTATATAGAACCATTTTCTTTACCAAAGAGCCCTTTTTTGAGAGTGTAGAATCAGAATTGTTCACAGTGGTGGTGGGAACCAGACATCTGAAGAGTTTAATGACTCTGAAAGCTCCCTCACAGAAAGTCCATCCATCCATCATCTAAACCGCTTATCCTTCTGGGTTGCGGTGGGGTGCTGGAGCCTATCCCAGCTGTCATTGGGCGGAAGGCAGGATACACCCTGGACAGGTCGCCATCGCAGGGCAGACAGACAGACATACACAGTCACACCTAGGGGCGATTCAGCATGTCCAGTCAGCCTGACTGCATGTTTTTGGACTGTGGGAGGAAACCGGAGTACCCAGAGGAAACCCACGCAGATGCGGGGAGAACAGACAAACTCCACACAGAAATGACCCTGGTCGCCCGGCCAGGAATCGAACCCAGGCCATTCTTGCTGTGAGGTGACAGCACTACCCACTGCGCCACCATGCCACCCCTCACAGAAAGTCATTACATTAAATGTTTAGATATATATGTAATTACATATTATAACTATATATAATAAATAACTACCATTCAACAAGCTAGTACTGCTACACCAGCAAAACAATGTTTAATAGTTCTTCCAGTCATAACCGGATGTTTCCGCACCTATCATGAAATACAGAGATGAAGTGAAAAATATTGTGGATAGCAAACAGCCTAACGGTGATCTGCAAACCGTGTGTTACAAGGAAGTACATTTTTTCCACGAGAGCAGAGCAAAATGAAGCATATTTTAGAAGCGGTAACCACAAGTTCTGCACTACACTGCTGCTGCTTGCTCCTGTGCTGTTAATGTGGCCTTTTACACCAGCCACATGGCAAGCTCCGCTACAGCAGCCACAAACAGCAGTGTCGCACACATGTTGAAATAATGTGTGGTTGCCGCACTTTAAGCTTCAAGTATGTTTTGAGCTCTATGCCACTAGAAGCATGCATAGAATACTCAAAATATGTTGCGCTTTTGTGCCGTGTATTTAAATAACACTATTAATGTGTTCATACTAGAGATAAGAGCTGAATGGACTGCATCTAAATACAAAACCAATCTGTCATTATTTTATTTTTCTTTTCACAATCTCGCTAAGCATGTAACAGTGTAGGCCTATGAGTGTTTCATTCTTGGTTTATTTTTGCTTTTGTTGATTGAAGAAACATTTTCAACAAGGACATTTTCTCACATTTTGAACCTTAGGTTACTTATTTTCTTAATTCCATCTGTTTTCCTCTGCTCCAGCCTGACTTTCGCTCAACTCTAAAAGTGAAGTTGTTACCAATAATGTTTCATGAGCAAGCGTGATCATTGGAGCATTTGGAAAAAAAATACATCATTTTTGGACCTACTTGATCAATTTTATTTTGCAATATTGCAGCTTTTACATGTTTTATATTGGTTCACTCATTGA